CCTTTGGGGTGGGTGCTGCGCCGGTATGGCCGGTGCTGGAAATCTGCTGGGACGGAAGCGAAGCCCTGTGAACGTGGTCGCTGCGGCCATTCTTCCCCCACGCTTTCCTGGGGAGATCCTACGAAGTGCCCCCCCCCCAGCCCTGGAACGAGGTAGAGCTGAAGGGGCGTGTGAGAAGCCTCTGTTTGTAGGGAATAAGGGCAAAGCGCTGAGGGAGCAGGGCTTCCTGGTGGAATCAGATGTTCTATGCGTTTCTTGTTGGCTTTGGCCTGAGGGCAGAACTGCTCCCCTGTGAATAGGGCTGGCATCCCTCTGTTGGGCTCATGTGCCAGCTGCTGTTTCAGGGGACTGCGGGAGAAAAGTGGCTGGATGACGTTCATCGGGCAACTCCGGCCGTGCAAGGTGAACAGGAGAGCTAGTTTGGTCCCAGCAGGGACCACAGAAGCTACTCTGTTACTTGGCTTTCCCTGCAGCCCCGCGCTGTGGTAAACTGGTGATCAGCTTTGCAGAGGCCGGTGAACACCTGGTAGGAACTGTTCTGCCTCATTGCCCAAAGTGCCTCTCCCAGCAAAAGTCCACAGATACATGAAGAACCAGGATAAAGATGCATGAAACATCTCCTTGGATACCAGTTGCACCGCTGTGAATAAGGAGGCAGCAAGCAATAAAGCATAGGTGCAGGCTTAAAGAATTAACATGCCGGGGGGGAGGTGTAGGAAGGAGATTTTTCTATGCACAGATGTACCTGGGAGCAGAGGTGGTCTGATCTCTGAGCAGGATTCATAGACCCCCTGCTCTGAGTGAACATGCCATGCAACACAATGTTGTTACAGTTTTTCAAATAATGGAGACTTAGCTGGCAAACTTGGAACTTTGTGAAGGGTCATTGCAGGGTGGGTAAAAGCAAGACTATAAGCTGTGCATTGCATTAATACCAACATCAGTCACTGTCATGGTTTAACCCCAGCCGGCAACTGAGCCCCACACAGCTGCTCAATCACTCCCCCCAGGTGCGATGGGGGAGAGAATCGGCAGAGTAAAAGTGAGAAAACCCATGAGTTGAGATAAAGATGGTTTAATAAGGAAAGCAAAAGCCACGCACACAAGCAAAGCAGAACAAGGAATCCATTTGCTATTTCCCATCAGCAGGCAAGTGCTCAGCCATCTCCAGGAAAGCAGGGCTCCATCACACATAATGGTTACTTGGGAAGGTAAATGCCATCACTCGAAATGTCTCCCCCATTCTTCTTCCCCCAGCTTTATATGCTGAGCATGATGTCATATGGTATGGAATGTCCCTTTGGTCAGCTGGGGTCAGCTGTCCCAGCTGTGTCCCCTCCCAACTTCTTGTGCACCCCCAGCCTCCTCGCTGGTGGGGTGGGGTGAGAAGCAGAAAAGGCCTTGACTCTGTGAGCACAGCTCAGCAGTAACTAAAACATCTGTATTATCAACACCATTTCCAGCACAAATCCAAAACATAGCCCCATACTAGCTACTATAAAGAAAATTAACTCTATCCCAGCCAAAACCAGCACAGTTGCAAACTGCACAAAATCCAAGTTAGCAGATGGCCAGCCCAGGAGCATCCTCAGAGCCAGGGCTTTAGGAGCTCTCAGCACCTAGAGAGTCTTGCTAACCATGTACACAGCAGAGTCATCCCCACCTTATGCCTCTTTGGCCTGTTCTTTTATATTGTTCTTGTTGCCAGAAAGAATTTGCTGCAGGACAGATTTTGGTTTCCACCATCCAGTATTTCTACACAGGTCTGAAAGTGGTTTAGATTGGTTTTGGCTGGTTTATAGTTTCTTTTCTTCTTTGGGGCTGTTCTTATTTGGAACATGCATATTATGCAGTTTTAATTCTTAATCCTTTTTCCAGAACAACAGACTGAGAACAGGGAGAATGGTTGACGGGGTGTGATGGGAACGCTGTGGTCATGCACATCCCTGTCATGTACCATGTCACTGGAGAGAGCAACAGCTGAGGCTTTGAAGATTGGCTGCTCCTCACAGACCTTGGGGTCTTCTGTCATAACAATACTGGGCTCCGTGGGGACAGTGGTACTGCCACAGCCTTAACTGCTTTCTCCCAGCAGTGTCTGCTGACTTGGAGCTGACTTGGAGGACAATAGTTCTCTCACATTTTTCACTTGGTACTTCTGTCATGCCAAGAGGCAGCTCCAGGGAGTCTAGAGGAGAAGTATCAGCAGACTGGTTAACCCCAGACTGGTTATGACATCTTTGGAGGACCAAGTGTAAGACAGGTCAGAGGGCTAGAGAGAGCAGGAATTATTTTGTGGGGCAGAATTTCAATCACCAAGAAGAAACAGAGCTAAGCTGTTTCTGCTCTACTGGGTGCTCTCCCTTGCATCTAGCCAGTTAGATGCATGTTGCACTCAGTTTGAGTATATAACTTGGTAATGCAGGTAATTCCCGTTGATTTTCTTATTGCTAGAGTTGGGGGTAAGAGTTTGGGAAAAGAGTGTGGGAAGGTTCTAAGCTGATCAACAGGTTTTTTTACCTCAAAGCCACCTTGTTATGGCTGGATGTTGCCATACCCCTCTATGAGGTCATGGGCGGCCCTCCTGGGGCCCAGCTGGGTGGGGATGCCGGCCCAGCCTCTGTGAGTTCACAGCCTCCTGCGTCATAAGCAGAGGGACAGGCGGCTGCCTGCCAGCCTCCAACATCTTCAACATCTTCTAACATCTCATGGACATGAGGACACCTTCCACACCTGCTGTTGCGGGCAAGCCAGCTTTCCTTTAAGCCCACCAGGAACAAGGATCTATCAAGAGGTGAATATAATTCGTATATCTTTATGTTCCTCATTGCATATCCCAGTTCCCCTGACACTGCTTAGAATTTGCTTTCAAGAAAATGTGGACAAGCTGCCTGAAAAGTACAACAGATTTGTTTTTATTTGACTCCACTACAGCAGTGATTGGCACTCTCACAAAGATATGTACTGAGCTAGTGGGTTTTCTTCCTAAATTAGAATGTACATTTGCACATAGAAAGTCAGCAGGAGCCTCTCCAACACTCAAATATTGCTGTTCTGCTGGTTGACAGTCTCTTGCCTCTAAACAAGTGCCTCTAAACTGAGCGCCACTTTTGTCAGGAAATGGGAGATGGCACATCTTGGAGAAATGATGCTTAAGGTCACCATGCCACCCACCACAATACCTCGTGTGAGGCAAGGCAGCACTCTTTGCCTCCTCTGAATTGCTTCTCCTGACCCACATCGCCCAGTCTGTGGCTTGTGCTGGTCCCAGTTTGTCAGTCCCTGGCACCCATCCATGCTCCTGAACCCTGGGCTTTCTCCCTGGTGGCTGGCAGAGTGGCTTGAGAGCCAGCAGCTGCATTGCCATCTAGTGGCTTTTGAACACAAAAGCAAAGAGGAGTCAGAAAAGGTGATTAAAAGTGTGAACAGCGGGGGGGGGAGAATAAAAACACCAAAACCAAGAATAGAAGGGTTATGAAGCCAATGGAGAGCTTCCCTGTTGAAATCTCACCCATCTCTCTACTTTCACAGGCACAATCTAGTTATTAATATAATAAACTAATATTGCTAATATTGAATATTAATAAGCAAGCATGAATTTGAATATGCTTTTAGTATGGGGGAAGCTGGTAATAGAAAAGGAACCTATACACAATCCTACTAGATTAGTCTATTAATCTTTTTTCATTATTTGGTTTAAGATTGTTTTTTGAGACAGAACAAAAAAACACAAACCAAGTACAGGAAAGAGAGGTATTACAATATTCAGGTACATTTTTATTAATTCTTAAACTACCTTTTTTCTTCCACAGGTCAAAGCAAAAAAAGCAAACCACAGCAAATCAGAGCGAGACTGCAAATCATGTTCTTGTTTTCAGCTTTGTTTTTAAAATCTGAAAAATAAGGACATTTGGTAGCACATTAAATGCAGAATCTGAGCATGCTTTTGGCAGTCCCACATTGGTGGGACTGGGTAAAGCACGTGAAAACAAATTTAGCATGTTAATAGGGCTGCAATCCTACAGACACTTGTATATGTGTATAATCCCATTTCAACCAACAGAGCAGCAACTGTGCACAGAAATATTTACCCGTGGGTTGGCAGGAGCAGGGCATTACTGAGCTTATAAAAAGTTATTCACAGCCAGGCATGCCTGGAACACTACAGCTGGTTTCTCTCAGTTGTGGGGCAAGGTTGTGTGTGTTTGCCTGTAGGCCCATGCTTCACTTACCTGCTATTCTACTGGGACTAGAGTTTATTTAAAGAAGATCTCTCGCTGGATCTTTAGGCAGGGATGGGACAGGAAATAGCAGTTAAATATGCTTCAGCTAGTCCTTGTAAGCAGTTCAATGAACAGGGAATCCAGCCTATCAGATTTAGCACTAATCCACACTAAGAGTTTAGCAACTACAGCTGTCTTGATGAGCCCTCCAGATGATGACATGGACTGGCTTGTTGAAATTGTTTTCTCCCATCATGTTGTCATCTTTGATATAGAAACACAGTAAAAGAAAAATCACACCTTCTCACCACTACTGCTCCAGCAGTGAATATTATTGTCACTAGTACACATTACAGTTCAAGGTTATCTACAATGCATTCCAGAAAATAGCTGAAGGAAAGGTGCAAAGTATTTGAAGAGTTACCTCCCAGAAGCACCTATAAGCCAGTTCCCTATTAATATATTTCAGTGCAAATTCCCTCATCTGTCACATCTCTTGCTCTGCTGCCACTAATAAGAAAAAAAGCCATCGGTAGTTCATTCACCATAATGAATCAAAAAGGTTTCTGCAGGTGTAGCTGCTGCAGCCACTATCACAGCAGGAGAGAGAACTCCAACTTCATTCACTGAACCTGCTGTCTCACCAAAGAAGTCACTTCATGTATGGCATGCTGGTACTTCTCTGAGGCTGCTTTAAACTCAGCCAGGTGCTTCTCATAGCTTCTCACAGCTGCCAGAAGCTGATTCCTCTCCATGGCTCCCAGGATGGCATGGAGGATCATTTCAATGCCAAGCCCAAGAATGGTGATGCTGATACCCCCGAGAACAGATGCAGCTATCTGTGCAAGGAGACTGACGAGTTTGCTCACAGTGAGAGTTATAAGATTGGAGCCAAGAATTTTGATAGCTACCATCCCAGCCATTGAAGTCGCTTCTCCAAGAACAACGGAAAAAACTTTATGGGCTATTGCAATTTTCTCCAACTCGGGCTCTTTGATATCATACAGCTTCTGGTACAGTGCAGGCTCTAGCTTTTCCTTCATGTCACTATCAATCTTCTGTACCTGACGCTGAATCTCACTCATCGCTTGAATCATAATGTCACAGTTTTCCTTGACAGTGCTGCTCGCTCTCATCTGAATGCGGGTAATGGTACATCCCAGGTGTTCATTCAGCACTCCAGCCAGCTCATTTGTTGCATGGAAATTCATGGACATGCAGTTGAGCAATTCTTGGTGCAGATGGATCAATTCTTGCCTTCTCTTGGGGTTATCTGGGTAAAGGAGGTCACTCAGCGCCATTCTTCAGAAATAGGCTACTTCAAGAGAGAAAAGAAATCTCTTACTCTGTTCAACACCCATAACCCTAGCCCTTGAAAAGCAATGAAATGTCCATTGTCTCTGCCTCACTGGTTCTTTTTATACTCAGCAGGTCAAATCCCAAGGCATAGCTTGTAAATACAGAAATCTTAGTTCTTGTTTTAGCCAAATGATTGGAAAAGGACCTTATGAGACATTGAACATACTCAGAGCAACAAAAATAGCTAACAAATATGTAATTAGAAAATTGGTAAAATGAACATGGGCCATTCTTTACCTTGGAAACTGAAGATGGTAGAAGCTGAACTAGTTCACTAAAAAATGGAACAATCTCATCTAATCAGCAGAATCTAAAATAAGCTGTGGAAGTGAAAGGCCTTTTCTAGACACATTTTTGTATCAGCCTATTTTTTTCAGTTAGTGGCATCTGATTTTTAAACAACTATGATGACTGCTGGAGTGGACACAGTCTGTATCAGCATAAGGGTGTTTTATGCCAGTGTAGCTTATTTCTCCTCACATTCCAGAGAAAATGTTACTATATATAAGCACTCTGTGCTTATACTAATAAGCTCACACTCAGGAATTCATAGAGAATAGTAAAATTAACTATAATAAACCCATCCTAACTTATATCACCTTACACACATGTCCCACTGTGTTTTCTTCCCTGATATTTAGCCTGTGCTTTCTCATTGTTTATTCAGCTCTCTAATGCTGTAATCGATTCCCCATTGTTTTTTCCCTCATGAACATCAAACAGCTGCTGACAGCCCCGTGATGTTCAACATGCCGTGTAAGCACTGTGAGGTGCGCTACTCCAGCAGGACGTCTGTGATGGCAGACTGCCTCGGAGCACCATGCACCAGCTTGCAGTGGGAGCCCCGCTTGCGCAGCCATGCTCCCTCCATAGCTAGGGTGTCCTGCGTGGAGCTAATATCAGCAGGTGCTGATCAAAGTCCTATCACCAAACTCCTAAGACATGACTGAGCAGAATCTAGCCCTCCCTTATCACTGTACAGACCAGAGCACAAAATTTAGCTTCTTTGATTCTTCCCCTGCAACTACTTCTGTCTAATCCTTATGGTACCATTCTCCTCTGAGTTGTTGCTGGTTTGCCAGCAAAAGGGCATATTTAATACATTTTTCTTTATTACCTGCATGTCAATATACAGAGTTCAAAGTGACTGAGTTACCAGTGGTCATGGAGTTACTCCTCATTACTAAGCTTCTGTAATCAATTCTGTGCCGCTTCCCTTTAACCCATCATCAGCTGCAAAGTAAAAATGCTTTAGCATGATTTTGACTTAAATGTGTATGTCTTTGCAACAGGGGCAAACTGCAAATGAGTAGGATAACTCGTTTCTTTGTTTGCGCTTTTGCATTCTCAGCCCTCATTGCAAATCTGAGCCACTTTTATGCAGTGCTTAGCATTTTTCCAAGATAAACATCTTCTTACTGTTGGTGCCTACATATCACAGTTATAGCTATAAATAGTTATGTGTAGGGGACTAGCTAGATTTTTCTTGTTAAAAAGATACCTGTATGTCATTTTGGTCCTTTGTAGTTCTTGCATTATCGCCTGACTGCAAATCATCTGACACTGACCCAGCTGTATTTTACTAAACACACCCTCCCCCACAAGATCACTGTAGAAAAACAGAATAATTTCAACAGTCCCCTAGCCAACTTTTAGTCTCAGTGTTGAAATACAAGCCAGTCTGAAGAGAATTTTTTCCACAATATTTTGTACAGTACTGTACATTTCTTCCAGCTACATACCTTGTAGCTCCATCAAGAGAATAAACTCTTTAACACATCTTTCTTTTTCTTCAAGCTGGAGGGAGCGAAGTATATATACAGTAAAGGAATTTTCAGGAAGCATAAAGCCATGTCAATACAAGGTATGAATTCATCTCAGTCCTGCCTCAGTGATGTTGCTGGCTTGCTCTCTGACTCAGTGTGATATTACATCCTTTCTACTCCAGTGATGTATTGTTGAAAGGTCATTTATTTTACCTTATTTGTAGAAACCGAGAAGACAAAATGTTCTAAGAGGAATAGCACCTCAACAAACATTTTACATACTAGACAGATGTGGAGGAGACTTTTAGCATCTACTCTTTATGCATGATTATTTCAGCTTCCGATAACTGTTCAGATTTTGCTTCTTAGTGCTAAAATTACCTCTTACTCTTCACATTAACACTTTTGCTAGTTTTTACATTTGCTTTCTAGAGTTAGGCAGGTCACATATATTTCTGTATTTCTGACTATTTCTCCAGCTCTAGGGAGATTTTCTCCAGAAGCTTTTCTAATTAAACATTTAGACTGCCTACCTGATTTTGTCTGAGTGCTCCTGCAATCAGTTGAATGTGTACGGGACAGTGACTTCATCCTCTTTCCCCTGTGTTCCTCTGGTGGTTTCCAGCAGCATGTGATGAGTTAGGGATCCAAAGCTTGGGCTTCAGCTGGGTCCTGTTGCTTGCCTGCTTGTCATTAATTCTATTGTTATGTTTATCCAGATTCATTCCATTTTCTTCCTCCTTCCTATTTTAACACATTTCATTTCATTTTGTGCTAGTTCCCAATTGTTAGGTCCTCCAAATGCCTTCTGTTCCTGGTGAGAACAGGTACAGCATGAATCTCTCTGCCTACGACAAAGGTACTGTCACAGGTACCTACAGCTGTGGCTGAAAGGGCATGGTGTTGCTTGCTGTTCTCAGAACACGAAATATGTAGGAGAGCGCTTTTCATTCATACAGATACAGGATTAGTTTTTGTACTGGGATTTATCAATTTGTATTTTTTGTAAGTATAAACAATAAACACTAATGCTTGCAGCTGTTCCTTGAAATAATGAATTGTTGCCATGACTGGTTTTGTACACCTATGAATTATGGAAGAAAAGTTGAACAGTCTCACACAAATAGAAAAATAGATACCACAGAGAGTGAAAAGAAGCTTTGTCTGTCCCAGCAAGGCAAGCTTGTCCTTCTGCCTTCATCCAAGCTAGACATCTTCCATGCTCTGATCCTTAGAAGGATGGACCTGCTGCCCACTAGGCTCTGATCATGAATGCTGCCTCCCCAGTAAAGAATGGTTGAGTTCTCAGATGAAAGCAAAAGATCAAGCATAAAATGAGTACTCTGCAGTTGCCAGCTTGTTTTCCCCTGAAAACTGAGCTGTTCTATTCAACCCAGAGCCAGAGTACCAAACTCCCCTTGTCTTCAGAACTGTAGGCATCAGAAGATGAGCTGAGAGAGAACACTAATGATTTAACTATTACATTTCTGCAATGGTCAATTAGTTGTGACTCCTGTTATTAACTGAGAATGCCATGTAGTCCTGAAATACTTCTTCCAATATTGGACTGAATTTAATTCATCAAGCTGGCAACTGCCTGTGTGTCACATTCTGTAGTCTGGAAGCTGCTTTCAGGTCCTCAAAGTTTACAGTGGATGCAAATTCTTTTCTTCTAAAGTCCCTACTCTATCATTTGGAACATGACAGAAAATCATTTAAACAGTAAGCAAGCAGTTTTGTTCCTGCTTTACTCCAGGTCTTTAGGGAAGATTAATAGCTATCATTTCAGACCTATTAAGTTTGGAGGAAAGACTTCATCTGGAGTGCCTGTCACCCTTCTTTGCTGCAACTTCCCAGGTCCTCTCCTCTGATGCCATGAGAGTGGAAGAAGTGGTGTGGAGCCCCAGAGCCAGCTCTGGATGAAGAGCAGTTGAGGCTAAAATCGATTTTGCCATTTCACACAATTTCAGATCACTTTTGCCATGGGAAGGGAAAGAAAGAAGAGGCAGAGGGCTGAGATAAGCAGTGAGAGAAAAGTCTTAAAAAAATATGCAGTGGGATGGGAAGTTGCAATGGCTTGGACACATCTAACTGCACATCTAACCACAGCAATAGCTGATGAAACATGTCTGCTTCAACCAGTCTGGCTTTCCAGGGCTCTGGCACAAGCAAAGGCAAAATCAGGAGCAGTCCCTCAGCTGTGTGCTGTCCCAGGACTGTGCCTGCCTGCAGTTGGTCTTGGGAGAACTCTTAGGTGAAAGCAGGACATAACTTCCTTAATGGTCAAAACGGTAGCAAGACGGGAGCCCAAGTGAGGAGAATGTTTTGTGCTTCCACCTATCAAGGAGATAGACAGATAACGGGTCACTTCACAGGAAACTGTAGGCTGTCAAAACATTGCATTACTCAGCCTTCAATTGCTTTGCCTCTTGAATGTATATGCCTGATGCATTTGACTTCACTGTGTCTACTCCCCCCTCCCCAGAATATGAGTTTAATTCTGTGTAGACCCATCAGTATATACAAACTGAAGGAATATAGTTCTAAAGATGATGTAAAGTAGATTGTTTGCTAGGACTCCCAAAAATTTACCAATAAACACCAAAAGGCAAGAATAATTCACTTACAGCACTTCCAGTAGTTTTCAGATTGCATGCTGAAGGTCAGAGTCATACTTCCTGCAGCCATAAGAGTAACAATAGTTGCAGCTGTTTACACCATATTTTGCTGGCGTGCTTGGTAAGACCCCTGAAAAGGCTGACCAAGAGCTTTTTCTGTGTTTTCTTCTAACTGTAATGTCTTGGGGGAGGGCAGGTCAGGTGGGTTGACAATTTGTAATATTGGTTTCAGAAATATAATTCAGAAAATTAATTTAAAATATATCCAGTTATATTCCCCTGCATCTTCTGGATTTTCTTTGTTTGCTTTTCAGAGTCAGATACCACTCAAGAAATGTTAGCCCGCCTCGGTTTTAAGAGTGATAAAGAAAGGCTAGTCAGGGCCTGCCAGAATCTGCATGACTTAGTGTACATCTATGTCTCTTCAACCAACACAATATTCCGACTTCTCAATGAGCATCTTGGCACCAATTTCCCCATCATGTCAGTAAAAGAAAACTTCAGCATTAAAGAGAATCTGCAGCTCCTGGTCAATGCCTTGAAAGAGATGCAAGCCAC